CCTGCTCCGAAAGACGAGGCGGAGATGTTCGTTGCCATTTTTGAGTATATCGACCGGCTCTTCAACATATGTCGTCCTCGTCGTATTCTATATATGGCTATAGATGGGGTTGCTCCCAGAGCCAAAATGAATCAACAACGCTCAAGAAGATTTCGGTCATCCAAAGAAGTTGATGAGAAAAATCAGACGATTGCTCGCATTCGTGCCGAATTAGAGGCCAGAAGTGCTTTTCTGCCTCCCGAGAAGCCTGATTCCGAGCAGTTCGATTCAAATTGCATCACCCCCGGAACACCTTTTATGACACGTCTCTCCATTGCCCTGAGGTATTATATTTACGACAGATTAAATTCAGATCCCGGATGGGCTAATATTCAGGTAGATTTCGTTTATCTATTATTTTAGTATTATTATGTAAAAGTATTTATGTTACTTTTTCATTTTAGGTGATCCTTAGCGATGCTAATGTTCCAGGGGAAGGTGAGCATAAGATTATGGATTTCATCCGAAAACAACGCTCTTCACCATGTCATGATCCCAACACGCATCACTGTCTCTGTGGTGCTGATGCAGATCTTATAATGCTTGGACTTGCGACACACGAACCACACTTCACCATAATTCGTGAAGAATTTAAGCCAAACCAGCCTAGACCATGCGATATATGCGGCCAGTATGGTCATGAAATGGAAAATTGCGTGGGTATCCCCAAGGAAGATGATGATTTTGACCGTCCTGCTCCTTTACCTACGTCCGAAACCGTAAATTCCTTAAATAATACTTATATTCGTTCAGCTACTTTCCTAAAAACCTTTGTTCATGGAAGCTTATATCATCTGATAATTTCGCTTCCATCATTTGTCAATATAAATTATTCTTTTGCTCACCATCATCACAAACCTCCAGATGAATTTTTCCATCATTACTTAAATACGTGTTATAATGTATTTTATCAACTTATCTATCAATATCTCATTTTTGCCCTTTCATACCTACAGGATTTCATTTTCGTTCGTCTTGCGGTGCTCCGTCAGTATTTGGCCGAAGAACTGCAACTTCCCGGCTTGCCATTTAAATGGGATCTGGAGCGTGCCATCGATGATTGGGTACTTATGTGCTTCTTTGTTGGTAATGACTTCTTACCACATTTGCCAAGTCTTGAAATCCGTGAGGGTGCAATCGATCGACTTATCGGACTGTACAAAGATACTGTTGCCAAGACCGGTGGTTGGCTTACTGATAGTGGCCGAGTTAATCTTTCCAGAATTCAAGGCATAATGATAAGTCTTGGTCATATGGAGGATGAAATATTCAAAAAAAGGCGCTCTGATGAACTATTTTTTCGAAAGAAAAAGCGGGAAAATGCCCTATCTGGTGCTCAAAGATCCTGGCACAAGCACACAATTGAGCCCGCCTCATCTGGATTCATGAAGCCTATCGCTGCTTCTAATAAGCCTTTTGGTGAGTAGTAATCGAGGCTTAGTAGCTATGCTAGAATCCCACCATTAGTGGGCATAAGGAAGTCGAGATATTTGTCGGTTTATTTTGGTATTGGTTTTGTCTCATTTTCTATCCCACGCTTGGCGTCTCGATTAATCTTTTGTCCGGTATTCGCTAACTTAATGAATATATATCAACTGGTCCGTATCTTTCTTGGGCAAAATGCACAGTATTATTATTTTAGGCATTTTCTTGTGATTACATGTTAAGGATACTGGTGGGCCTTGGATCCTTTAAACATAACCCTTATTTGCTCTTATAATTAATATACATGTGTTCACACAGATCCTACGCAATATGCATTCACCAGACCACTCCACTCCCTTCTATTTTGCCCCTCTACTCATCCTCATCAGGGAGTGTTTCGGCCTCCGAAGTTCACCAGCTGCGCCGGCATCATGACGTTAATTGGGTGGAGCAAAACCTTAATAACTTGGAGGCTGCGACTGCTATGAAAGCTATGCTTAAGAGACGCATAGTCTCACCTCATGAAGATTCCTCTTGTATCAAGCAATCGTATACGAAAGGCACGTCTGGTTACAGGTCTTCCAACTCAAGCGATGCTTTTACTGGGCGGGAACACGAGAAGGTCATTAAGGAATTGGATGCTGATGAGTTGGCTGACGCAAAAGACGAGGTGCGTCTTTGGGAGGATGGCTGGCGTACGCGGTACTACCAGTCGAAATTTGGCGTTGATCCCGGTGATGCGCCCGATTTTTGTATAAAAGTGGGACAAGAATACGTTAAGGGTATTTGTTGGGTGCTTGCCTACTATTATCAAGGCTGCGCTAGTTGGAATTGGTATTTTCCCTACCATTATGCTCCATTCGCTAGCGACTTTATCAATATAGCGAGGTACGTCGGCTTATCAAATTCACTTGCCAATTTAAGGCAACAAGTGAAATTTTGTTGCATCTTAATCTTATAACATCCACCCTAAATGTGAAGACTAAAATGATTAATTTTTGTGCTGTCATATTCTTCCTCTGTCTTATAATTGCTTAGCTTATATAATTTTCTTCCTTGGGTATCGTTCATGTATTCTATCATCGTTTTACTCGTAGGGAGCAATAAAGAACCAATAGTTTTTGTTCGAGTTGTCTCGATTAAATTATCACGTGATATTTGATGGGCAACTTAGATGTGCTCAAAGGTGATTTATTGGACCGTCTTGTGATCCCATATATGGCTTGTTTAGCGGCACCTTTTATCAGCTGTGCTGATATATTATCCTATTGTTTAGTGAAAATGGTTTATTCGAACCTAGATCTGCATAGTCTAGATACTTTAATTTGCCTGGCCAATGCTTGCTTTATTTTTCATTGTCAAGCCTTCTAGTATTAGTTTTTAATGCTTCCTCAGGTTCATTTCAGCATATTCACAATGCTTAGCTAGAATCAGTTTATTTTTTTTTCGGTTTTCTACTTAAACTAAAAAACTGAAGTCTTA